AGATCTTACAAACATAACTCAGAACATAAAATTATGATGCGGAAAGATTTGAATCGGCTGTCACTTGAACAAGCTAAGAAAACAATTTAAAACATGTTTTTTTCTAATCGCACCTGAGGGTTTGAACGACCGAATCAATATCTGACCCTTTGTAAAGTGATTCCCGTCGATTCTGGCCCACCACGGATCTCAAATTAGAAGCCGAAAAATTAATGTTGCGGTTGATATGCGACTCGGCACCGCGTCATTACAACTAGTTTCGTTTCAACCGATAAGTTTTCTTTTCGCATGATAAGCGTTCTGGAATGTTTAGCCGCTCTTAAAATAACCGTGTGGTGTCTCGGCTACATAGCCATCAATCTTAATTAAGCGGCCGGATAAAACTCTGCTTTAACAAGTTTTGGTGATCCATATCACAAAGGTGCATCCTGAATGACCCATGCCGCTGTACCGTGGGTGTCAGTAGTTCCGTCTCTGGCGCCATTTCGACCGGTTTCCTCTAAGGAGCGGCACGATCTTTGATTATATTGTAAGTGTGAGAGTAGTTGAGATAACCTCCTTCAATAAATGAGCTTTTGATTATTGTGGGGAAAGTTGGTATCTTAGAGAAACGTTCCCTTTTGTGTTGATGGCGTGTTAGTAAGCAAGTAAGTAAACAAGTAACTGCATGACATTCGGCTATTTTCGTAGCTTTTAGTCCATTGTTTCGGCTATTTCTGTAATGAATCGTCTGTTATTGAGTTGTTGTTACTAAGCCAATGAGGGGCAACGAGAAACTATGCTTGAAGTTGTCGTGTACCGGAGCCAGATTTTGGCTTTCGCCACTCACAACCTGTGTCATTCCGATAGAAAGAATGAAGTGAAAATCGTTCTTTTTGAGTGTTGCTTTCATGGCCGTTTTGAATCCTTTGTGCGTATTTTTTCCAAAGCAATTTCTACCTCTACTCTGCCAATTCGCGTTCGTTTGGATGTCAGTCAGGCTGGTCCGTGTATCTTTTGAGTTTTTCTCGAGTTAAGAAAGTGATTGAAATATTTCTGTAAAGTAAATAACCCTTTGTCAGAGCTAGAGCAATTTCCAACTGTTTGTCGAAAGCAAATCGGGAATGCATCGTTTTGGCTGGATTTTGCACTGTGATTGGTCTTTAAAACTCGTGCCACCCATTCAGTCAATCAAATTACAAATCTAAAAAAACAACGCGTTTTCCCGCGTTTTCCCATTAAACTCTTATTGGCTCTTTGAGATGTTTCCTTTTTTCTGATTGGCTGGTATCGTGACTAGTATGGTTTTTCTTATGACAACCGATCAAAACGCGCCCTAAAATTGCTTAAAACTTAAGTCTTGTTGTGGCCGGAAAAATTCACTTCAACACGGAGGAAACAAAATTTTTACGACAGGACAAACTAAAAAAGAAAAGAATACGTGAAGATTACGGCCAAAAACTGATGCAGATGTCAAGAAAAGGTGTTGCAGGATTTCAAATTTTTAACCTGAAAAATTTACTCCCCCTCAGCGAGATAATTTCAGTCATTCTCCACCAATTGTGTACGTTATTTCTAAGATTACAAAATTATCGTCAATGATACAAATTAAAATTCCGATTACTTCAGTGTCATTTATTTTTAGTTCAAGTCAAGAGTTGATATTGTTGTGAAAAGATTTACAGGAAAACATAGCTCATGCTTTCAGTCTGCCGAATCTTTTAAGACGAAAGAGGCCATACATATTTTATAGAAGAACCAAATTTTAAAGCAACAGTTAAAACACTTAAATTTATCTCTTTCTCTTTAGTTAATTCATCTACTGTTTCGATCGTTTTCGTAGCTTTTCGCGTATTATTGCGGCTTGTTTTCGTGTACTGTTTCGGCCGTTTTCGTAGCTCAGTTTTGTCCACTTCATGTTTGATGTTTCTACTTTTTTTTATTGATATCAAAACATGTTTGTAAAGTATGTGGTTTGCTTGATGTGAAAACAAAGTTGTTTACAACTATCGTTACTTCCTTCTTTCTTTTGTTGTCGAAACTTTGCGTGATTGTTCGGAATGGAACAAGGTAATTCATACAAACGCAAGAACTACCTTTTATGTATATATATATATATATATATATACATAGACCGCTCAAACAATTTAGACCGCTCAAACAATTGATCTACATCGATTATTTTCTTTAAATGTAACGTTGTAGTTAGAAATCTCTCAGTTCCGCAAGTTGGAAAGTACCACACAAACAACAGTTTTCTCTTTTTGGAATATCAGACTTTCAGCAGAGATTTTAGGCACAAAAAAAAATGAGCTTGTAAGGGGTGCGTTTCGGCTCGTCTTTAAAAAAAGTTGGCCGGACACGCGCTCTTCCTCGGACGATGCTCTTAAAAATATAGGCTTCCGAAGTCAAGTGTTTGTAGTAGATTTATATATATATCATATGCTCTCCTTTTGTTGTGGTTGTGTGTTAACAATTCTGCCAATTCTAACAACAGGTTTGTTTAGCTATTTTTGTTGTAAGGTAATATTTAGTTCTCTCATGATCTGTCTTAAGTACAGCGTCCTCACCTATCAATTAGTCCTCAAAATGCGAGTGCATTAATATCTTTTTATATCCTAATTGTTGGAAGAAACTCTTGGTATGTATCTTTAGTAGAATAATACTGAAAAGAAATGCGTGTAATGCTAATTGAGAACAACCTACTTGATGACGTGTGGTTAAGGATATACGTCATCAAGTCTAGGCCTCCTAGTGCCTAGTGCATCCCGGAACACGATTCTTAAATTTTAAGAACTTTGCTATTTGTAGACCATGTGAGTATTTACATCCTTGTTTTGTTTTGATCCATCCTTGTCATTTTAGTGTATTTGTATCGCATTGGGCTAAAATGTTCAGGTTTAACTCACGCTGAAAGTGACTGTTTGCTGCAGGATTCTCTAACATATATCGTGACTCGGATCCCATAAAACTAATTAATGAGTCAAGGCTTTACTGACACTGTGTAAATCCAATTTATACCAGTGAAAGTTTACAAAGTCTCTTCATTCTGTGCAAACATGAATATGTGAACTTCGACAAAAATCTTATCCCAGATTTAAGCAGCGCTTTAATTTGTTTATTCTTCATGAACAGCAGACATACAGTCTGGAACTTTAAACCACTGTACAACAAAGTCAGATCTCTTTGATCGCCTTTTCCATGTCATTGAAATCGAAGCTCATTGAAAAGTGTCCAAGTGGCCAAGAAAAGTTTATTCGAATTTGTTGATCAACGACCTAAGCGGTTGTTAATTGAAGTTTTAAGGTATAACGCCAGCTCGGAAATCTTTAATACCGATCTCGTGGAAGACACTTAAGACCATGCGATGAGTGAAACTATGCAGCAATGTTTATCTCTCGTTGGTGGGCCCTTGTACATTAAAAAATTCAAGGTATTGCTAACCACGGAAATTTTTCATTTGTTCTAGGTTATTAGACTCTCATTAAAACTTCATTCGCACTTCAAACCACGTGCAAAAGTGTATCTAAACGAATCATCAACCCCTCGTACCAACTCACTCGCAGTCGATGTTTTATGAGGTAAAGATCCAACTTTATTTTTCAATCTTTCGTGACAAAAAATGGTAAAATGCGAAGAAAACCGCATGCAGTATCTTTAACACCTGCAAGACATTTTGCAAAATAAAATGCAAGAAATCACATTAAAGATAGCAGCAGCATTAAAATAAATAAATTAAATTGTATTTTAGTATTGGTGCGTCCTCTAAATGCCTCTTTGCTCATCGGTTCAGGTTTTAAATTGAATTAGAATTTTGAGGGGCTGGTTACAACGGACTTCTTTTTCGGTAAAAATCATTCTAAAACATTAATGAAATAGTGGTAGTATTAAATATATTTGTATGTTTGTTTTTGAAGCAAATCCTTACCCAGAAACCGGCAAAATATGTGGAGCAAAGAGACCGAAAAACCCAAATATATCTGTATATATTGATGTTTGTGTAGTAGTGTATCTCAAGCGCACGCTATCAAATTCCAGGTCTAATTCATATCGAACAGAAACATGATCTAATAGATCACGTTTAAGTCCAATATTACATTATGCCGTAAATTCTATTTAATTGAATATCTGATGAACTTTTTTGGGAAGAATATTGTACCTAACATTTCGCATTACAAGGCCATTGATTAAATTCTTGATAGCTTTGGCTGAGATTTTAATCAACAAATCTGTTTCTATCAGCAAGACTCCTCCTTTTAAAATTGATAAACCAATTACCCTAATGAAATAGGAAACGGGTAAATCGGCTTTATAAAGGAAGATGCGAAAAGCAAGTTTAAACTTGTGGCCCAAAGGTCTTAGAGCAATTATTTTTCCATTTGATTTGACAACAACAATGAGAGCAAGCTGCGTCTAATATCTTAACGTAAGTGGACCGGAAAAACCAACTCAATCGCTAGCCAAGTTCTTTTTAAAATTAGGAACAGGGAAAACTTTAAACAACGCGCTATTTGTTCGCTGCAGGAAACAGCTTTAACAGGAAGCTCAAGTCTCCACGCTGAGGTTTCAAGTGATTGAAACAAAACGCGAAAGGATACAGGAAATTTTACTTTCGTTATCAGTGGCTTCAGTCGATAGTTATGGCATCCTTCCTTTGGTCTCCTTTCTCAGTTTCAAGCATTGTTTTTTTCCTTGTCAAGGAGGCGTTAATCAAAAGGCGTTTTAAGGACTCGATTTTCTTCGTCAGAGCGAAAGGGGATAAAACTTCAGGGCTTCTCGGCCGCTCGAAAGGGTCAAAAGATTGAGCCGATATGGCTTCGCGTAGTTTTCAGTCGATTAGCTTTCACGGGTGAACGACCTTTCACGACAACAAAAACAATCATGAAACCCAAAACAGACACCTTTTTTGTGTTACATTTCCACAACACCCCAACGAGTTCTTCATTTTAGGTAACGAAACTCCGCCTTAAGATAATTTTTCAATAAACATTTACTTCTCTGGTGGTCAAAATTTCAACAAATATGTGTTAATTACCTTTAATTGGAAATTGGGCAACATAAATGCAATTTTTCCACGAGACGTGATGGCATGGCCATTTGACTTACATTTGAGATCCATTTGTTTAAAACAGATCTCTTATCGTACATGTACAAAAACAATATTTACACATTCCCGAACTCTCAAATGTTTCTATGAATCATTGCATGCTTAGCAAGAGTCTGTCACTCGCTTCGACTTTAAATATCTTCTTTCCACGATGATGCTAAATAGCAAAACTCTGCGTTATTGACTTGAACCGTCGTACGGTTTGCTGCCAAGCTAAATCGATTCCACTCGCACAATTAGAACGCATTCCCATCTTCAAAACAAGTAAAGCAACATAGTAGCTACTCCAGCCAGAACAACAACAATAACAAATACATCAGCAGCTATGCTGGAGTGAGTCTTTGTCTAATGGCGGCATGTTGTACAGTAAGGTCGCTCTTAACAAAAGTCTTAAAATTAGTTCATCGTCCGTAACTTCCACGGGAAATTTTCCTTCCTTATCTTCAGCCCTAACATTTGCACCGTTCCTTAGGAGAAACCTGCAGATATTTTCGTAGCCTTCGCTGGCTGCGTAATGCAGAGCGGTCCAACCGAATCTGTCCTTCTTGTTGACGTCTGCTCCTAACTCGACGAGCATTTTAGCACTCTCCAAGTTTCCGTCTAGAACGCACTGATTAAGCGCTGTGAGACCTGAGGTCGTTATTTCATTGATCTCGCAACATGTTATTTGTTTTCTCAATCGCTTCTTCAATGCCTCCCTCTCCTTTGGCTGTCTAATAGCGGCGATTTGAACCTGTAACATCATATCAATCGGAACACGACGGCTATTTCTTTTTCGCTTTTTCTGCGCAGGGGATCCTTCAGGCGAAGTTGCTTTGATCATTAAATCCTGCATGATGCTTCGACAGTGTGTGCCTTTGAAAGTTCAAAGCTTCTTCAACGCTTTCTCTGGAGAACACCTTTGACCCCTTCGTCTTCTACGCACCTCTCTGACTGGCATGGACGAAATCGGTCTTTTTATACCGGTGAGAGGTCGCAAACGAGTGCTCCTCACAAAAGAATCAATTACACACGTCACGTAGGCATCAAGTGGCCGTGAGTGATGTTACGTCACCACCGGATTACCATTACAAAACGTGAGCAAGCACGAGAGCAGATTTTAGAAGGAGGTTCGCGCAACGTTCGGTTTGGTCGCGTTTCAACTGTTGGAAAGAGGCCTCCTAGTGCACCATGAATTTTGTCTTTTCAGGAGTATGACAGAAGTTAGCGATCGTGGTATAAAACTGACATATTGATTAAAAATCCCTCCATTCGATATTTCATTCACACCGCTCACGGTTCCGACAAGCCTTCAGCGGTTTTTTTTTTTTTTTTTCTTTTTTTACCTTCTTTTTTCCCGTCGGATGATATTTTAAGAAACATAATTGGTTTCGCCTCCTTTGCCGCTGGCGAAATCACGTGCCATAAAAAACCTTTGTCTGCTTATAATGACTAATAAGGTAGGACGTGCAGGTAGTGATCTCTCTCTCGAATAATCGCGAAAATATTGGATCTCAAGAAAATTCCCTTCACCAAATTAATTTATACGCAGTGGTCACATACCGGGTTAAAAGTTACAGAAAGGAACTGTTGTATTCCAGAAATCTTCCCTCCCTTTGAAAGGAAGTTTGAGACGGTCTGACTTCGAGTGAAATTTGAGCAGGGATGCTTGCGCGCTCGTCAGAATCGTTTAGAATGATATTGGACTATCTCTGAAAATTCCTTTAAGCTAGCAGATTTATGCAAACTACGACTGGAATCTCCATCTAGTAAGTGGTATCTCCCCAGTTTAAAAAACGTTTCTCAGTTTGGGTTCTGTCCTGGTGTACCGGTTCACAAGGGAATTACCATTGTTCTTTCTTTGTTTAGGAGTTATCGGTTAGCTATTGTGTATTGTTTGGTCTTTTGTATTGGCTCTTGTGAACCGGTACACGAGGACAGAACCTCAGTTTGCTTCATTCTGAAGTCTTTAAACTGTAGAGAGTATAGAAACTCCTATTTTGGATTAAAGACTGTTTTAAATACATCTCGAAAATATTTCTATAAGCTTAAAATACAAGGGAAAGAAGAAAAATAAACCAAAGGAAGAAATCAAGAAAAGCGAGCTCGTAACTTATCTCATGGTTAGGAGAGGTTATCTCTTCTGGATCGTGACTGAAACTTTCACAAGGGCTGTCACGTACCGCGCAGCTTGCGTGAATTCCCACGGGGATGCCTGTCGGGCGGATCCCCTTTCATTTGTTCCAGCCTTTGTGCTGTTGAAAAGGAATATTTTCTTTCCGGTAATTTCCTGTTGATTTTTTTTTATTACATTGCTTCCGGGCTTTTGGCGGCAAGCAGAAAACAAACAATAAATCAGTCATTTAAAACAGCGTGAGAAACAAATGGCAAAGTGGAGGGGTTTTTTTACTTTGCCAAAAACCATCGATATGACTAAAATTATCAACGTACCGAGAAAAGGCAAAAAAACGAAATGTAAAACATGACGTGGATTCTTCGCGTCTCATTCAATCACGCTCAAAAGTTTCATTCTCGGACTCACGGGTGAAAGTACATTTCGCACGCAAGTTATCATTCCAGACCATGAGAGCAGAGCAATGAAAAGTTTTACAAAACTTTTCTTAAAGGCTCCTGCTGATCACGCAGATCATTTTAGCCCTGCCTCGCACTGTTGTAACGGGATTCTGCTGTGAGGTTATCTTTTTCCCACACCTGGGCTTCTGTTATTCAATCCTACTGCACTATACAGCAAAACAAAGACTCTCTTTTTGTCAGATAGATAGGTTATTAGATTGTGAAACCATTTTGTGCGTGCTTGTAAACAAAGCTCTTGAGAATCGTCTTTGCAGTGTCAAGCCAATCTTAGCGGATTAGCTTTTACAACTCCGCCAGGGTACAGTTCAAGTGCTTTTGGAGACAAGGCAGAAGTTGTCACATGGACAAATCTCGCTACTGAGTCATAACCTCTGAAAAAAAGATTTATAGAATTTCCTCTAACCAGGAAACCATGCAAAAACCTGGGGCTGAAGCGGTCGAGGCAGAGTAAACAAACAATGAATTTACAATCCGCCGGACAAATACAATTTTTTGTAAAGGCATGTTAAGCAAATTTAGCGGTTTTTCGGTTTCTATGATTAGCTATAACATAAATATCAGTATCTTTTAAAGCTGGTCTAATATCACCCTTATATTTGAAAGCGTGGGAGGCAATGAACTACCGCCGTCTGTGCTTCGCTTCGTCCACGAATTTTTTAATTCATCGTCGTGTATTCAATATATCTGCGTATTGTTCTAAATATTTGAACAACAAATTTACGTTTTGACCCCGAATAGTGACCAAGACAGAATTTCTCCTTACGATATCAATACAATATCAAGCAGACAAGTGATGAGAATAAAAAAAAACAAATCTTAGTGAGGGGATTGCTAGTTGATGTAAAACTGAACACATAAAACTAGGCTTTATAAGAGTTGTGTGATAGACAGTAAGGAGAAGTACTATTTAGATCTTGGGAGTGAAAAGGTTAAAAAGAGAAGACTTCAGTACCGTTGGCGAAACTCAGAAACACAATTACAAGCAAGTTTTTAATAGTGTTAATACGTTTTAATAAATTGGCCTGTGTAATAACATGTGCTTCTTATAATTCGACACCAGTCACCCTGATCGCTTGATTGATTTTGACGAAAGGGGTCTGGGTACTAATGTAAGAGTTTTATTTGAAGATTAAGATGGCGGGCTAGTAGATGATAATTTACTCATCAGCTTCAGCAAGTGACAAAGACGCTGTATGTTCTAATGCTACCCAAGAAAGAGGCAGACTCTGCCGATCCGAACCAGGAGCTCCCAGCCTCCAGAAACCGTTAACCGCACACGCCGAACCAATTTTGATATATTATAAGCTGAGAGCGGCTGCAGACCTACATTCCAATCATTTTGGTTGATTCGGTAAGCATGTTGCGAATTAAGAACATCGACTGATTCATGCGCCGTTCCTGGCATGTTTCCGATGTATGAACCGAAATATATTTTTTTTTCTCTCTCTCTCTCTCTCTCTCCCACCATCTTTAAATTTTGCCGCCAAAACCGCCATGTCCAGGTCCCCACGGAATATTCATTCTTGTTGGATGGAGCGTCTTGACCTTGAACAACAAAAAACTGCCCCTTCTGGAACTTTGAGTTTCTGACAATCACCCTTCCTCTGATATTCCCCCCGCTTCTACTTCGCCCCTCCCCCTGACAGAAACTTCTCAAAAAGATATACAAAGAACATAATGACGATGCTGTGAGATTACAATGCAAATGTTATAAATTTTAGTTTACGTTAAGTTGCAAAAAGTATATCAAAAAATAAGTTATTACATCACGGGCGACGAGCCGGGCAAGAAAAAATAGTCCGAAATAAGAGTGGTCAGCGGTGAATAGCTTTAACCTCTCATGTAGAGACAAATCATTTGTAGTTTGCAGAAAACTTCTTTACATAAAAAGTTAAAAAAAAATTCAAAAGCATGGACTGTACAAATACTTTTATTGCTGTAGTAACCAAGAAAAGCATCAGGTAAGGCGTCAGTGGCTTCGAGGAAAGCACCAAGAAGTATGATATTTGCTGTGTGACGAAAAAAAATGTATTATGACTTCCGGTTGTCAAAAATTGTCAATCAAATTTGGCGCGAATTTGGTTTCCGCATTGTAGTTCGTCTGTTCCGGAAAATGTTACTAAGGATGAAGCAACCTCGTTCCCAGGGTCTCTCATCTTCCCGCCCCCTTGAGCGGGAAGATGAGAGACCCTGGGAACGAGGTTGAGGATGAAGACCAAAAGCTAACAACGTTGAGAGATTTAGAGATCGACTTTTTGAAAGAAGAGCAGCTTGTTGAAGGCGATTATTGCTTCGGATATTTCATAGGCAACAGCGCAGCGATGGATGATTTATTATTCCCATATTCATTAATGATTGAAGAGGGTAACAACCAATAAATGAGGCATATTTGGGTCACTTGCATGAACATTGATATCCAATGAACACTCCAAGGAAAATTTTTGATCTGAGGTGAAACATGGTTCTGATCTCAGTTCAAACACTTGTATTTTAATGAGCGTTTTTCACAATTAATACATCGCTAACAACAATTCCAAATATGACCTAAATATCATTCCATGAACAGTCTTTGTTGGATATCCCTCCCCCAACTTCTTGGCCACCTCCACCACAGTTTTTGAGAGTTATTGTCACTCTGCTGCCTTACGTCTCTACATGATGTCAACCTCGTTCCCAGGGCCTTTTCCCTTAGTTGGGGCTCCACCCACCAACAAAGGGAAAAGACCCTGGGAACGAGGTTGTACATGATGTATTAAAGCTATTTTACCGCTGACCAGTCATATTTCAGACTATTTTTCTTACCTGGCTCGCCCGGATAGTGCAGAGCTGAATAATGAAATGCCACGTTTGGGGATATGCGGTCAAAAACGCGGACTCAAGTGTCCCAGGTCTAAAATTTAGCGAAATTAGCGGAAAATAATTAGGGCTGACCTTTAAAACCGAGGAACTCTGTTTTCGTCGAAGGCACTTTCCTATTTCCAAAGGTTTAATTAGGGCGGGGGTAAACCTGAAAAAATGCCCATTTTTCAACCATTTTTCATGGCTAGGATTTAATTGAAAACTTAGGCAAACTATATATCCCTGGAAAGCTTATGACTTGATGATCATGAAAAAGAAATATTTTACACTCCACATGTCAATTGTAATTGGATACCACTCGTTTTATTGTGCCACCTGCTGGATTCTACCAAGGGTTACTTAAGAAAAGATAACTCCTTCTGGAATTAATGAAAAAAAAATGTTTTTAGTGTCAATTCAAAGAATATATGTTTCTTATGGATTTTTGATATGTTGAAAACATATGAAATGGTGATCGATTAAATTTGACATAGCAAATCGAAGTAGTGTTTCACTTCATAACTTTGAGTACATAAATCCGTATGATGCACGATCCTTCGCAGTAGATAGCGCTATTTATGCAATAGCAAAAATTGAACTTCATATATCCATTGTATCAGTACATAAATCATGTGGAAAATTGCTCTGCTCATAACTCAGAACTTATCAAGAGGAACAAATGCTGAAAATTTCAGATCATTCAGATAAATTGTTCTCAAGATATCTTTTCTTGAAGACAAAATTATTGCATAATGAGAAAATAGCCTTTAAACTTACAAATAGTAATCACACTTAGTTTTTTAAATTGTGCAACCATTCTAGTGGCCCAACTGTCCATATTTTGTCTGCAGGAGTGTCTAAAAGTAATTTAAATGACTCCTGGTTCATATATTACTCCTTCTGCTTCTTGAAAGGCTTCTTACTGACGAGTCCTCAGAAGTTGCTCCCCTTGATGCTCTCTCTTTTCCTTCTACGTAGCCTGTAAATCAGACTTCATCAATCATTTACTGTCTTTTGCAAGTGCTGCCTCTCTGGTGCATACACCACCAAGGATAGATAGCCTCTCCATAATTTTTGTCTTCCATACTACAGCATGGAAGACAACTCAGTCGTTAATTTCATATTATTTCCCTCACTGGGTCACACTACTGGATGTTGGAAGTGGACTGGATTCCTCAGAGGAATTGCACTAAAGGGAAAACTGTGACATCAGCCCTGCTCTAGCACTTTTATCCTCCTTAAGAGTTAAGTTGCCTAGAAAGACAAATCAAGTAAAAATTTTAAGATAAATCAGGCAAANAGTTTCTTTAGAGTCCGAGTTGCAAAATTTTTCCAATTATTGGAAAGCTGATTTTCATCCAGGGAAGTGCTCGGAGTTGAGTGGGCGATTTCGTTCTTCAAACTCATCTTCCTGTTTTCGTCTTCCAGTAAAATGTCTTTCTTTTCTTCCAGTAGACAGATCTACTTCTCTCTCCAGCCATTTTCGAAAACTTTTCCTTTGATTTACTGCTCTATGTACGTTGAATATCACATTCGACTGAAATCCGGACAAAACTGCCTCTAATTCTATCCCATAAACGTTTTGTCCCATAAATTGAAATCCGACTAGATCACGGAGGGTTCAAGTCCATCTGGGGCTCGGATTTTTTCTATTACACTAAAAATTGTTTCACCATAATCGTTTTGTCCCATAAAAACTATTCAAATAAGACTAAATAAAGTGTATCTCGTTAGCTCTTGCCCGCTTGGCTTAGTTGCCAGAACACCAAGGCATAAACAACTGATAAATTTTGAAAAATGCTATTCTCGTTACCATGGTATCCAAGCCACTAGCCAGAGCGGGAATTTTAAAATCGCTTAAAAAGGTAAAAATAATGAAAATAAATGGAAAATCATTTTTCCATAGTAAAATTAAATACCCAAAGCTACAAATTCTAAGGAAAACAAAAAACTGAGTTTTGGAGCAAATTTTAGGTTTACGCCCGCCTTAAAGGGGAAAATTAAGTTATTGAAAATTTTTAGTGGTGTACCAAATTTTTGGAGGTTGTTCTGTAAAAGAAAAGCGGCAAGGTAAACGACGCCTCTAAGCAACAGAATAGGAAATCAACCATGCGAACGACTCAAAATCCGTGTTTCAGCGGCAAGACCTCGCGCATGCGTATACGTTATTCAGCTCTGTCGCTCGTCGCCCGCTTATGTAATAACTACCCCATTTGTAATGGACAAAAAAAATAATTTGTTACTGGCAGAGGTCGGAAAATTGTCATCCAAAGTTAATTCATGCACTTGAGATTGTGGCTCGTGAGGAAAAGTGTTCATATGTCGTGACACCTCTTGGAAAGAACGATCAGTCAGCAGTTGCAAGTGAATTGCTTCGCATGTAAAACCGCCAATCGATTTGGGACACGCACGGTTGGAGGATTTCTTCACTTGTAGGGATTTCACGTTTAGAAAATGACCGAACCCGCTCACCCCAACTCAACCCATCTCTGCTAGCGCCCTCAGGCTCTGCCGAGAAGCCTATCAGGGTTTTCAGGTAAGTTGCAAAAATATCATTGATGTTTTAGTGAAAAATAAAATCTAAAAAAAGGTCGTGGCACTCGCGAATCTACAGGTTAGATTTGAATAAAGGGATGGGTTTTGAATCACTCTAGGCTTTGGCTAGGCATTGATTGTAAATGTTTTCAAGATATTTCTTTGCCAATGCAAACAACAAAAAACAATGGTATTCCATCAGAATTAACTTATTCTTTTCAACAAAATGACATTCTGGAGTGGACTCACGTGTTTATTTTCGTAGACAAAACACGATGTCGCATAAACCTGATTAAAAAAAATCCTAAATTCGTTACGTAAGTATCTCGTGAAACTTTCCTCACGCGAAGATTTTGTTGTCATGTGGTTATTAGAGGAAAGATGCATGTGTACGTCAAAGCAAGGTAATTGGGAATCCTCTTGTTTTAAAGTTGATTTTTTTAATATCTTCATTGTGTCCCTCAGTGAAGTTTATAGATATCAATTTGTCTGTGGTAAACAGCGAAGTTTTGAATTGGAGTTTTCCCGAAATCTAAATCAACAGTTTTGCTATTAACCTTGATGAACAGAAGTAATAAAGTAGATTCCTGATAGCTCGAACCTTCGAGGGAAATAAAAAAACGCCCCAAGATATTGAAAGTTGATAGTAGATGGCGGCCCGCTGGTAGCTTAGAAACGCAGCGCTTGTTGAGTTCCTGTTTGCTCTGTGGATATTTTGATCAAATTTTATTTCAGTGTGGAAACGATTAATATTTGTATAAAGAGCGAAGCATTATAGACTATTTCATGCAATTTACTAAGTTGAACGCATCGTAAACCGGCGTAACCTGAACTAAAGTGGCCGTCAAATCCACGACTTCTCCGTAAAGTCACTGTTTTTGACCACAGTACAGTTTGTCATGAAGTTAAAATTGAATAGAAACTCAGCTGAAGGAACTGACGCGGAAATTGCTTTAAGTTAGCGGTACGATTGAGTTACCGAAGGTAAAATTAAAGTAGTTGTATAATGGACAATCAAGGGAAGTCAGTATTGGTTTAAGTTAAAGTGTGGTTCTTTAGCCTGTCAAAAGGATAGAAGCTTGTCAAATGTGGACTTGATCAGATTTTTCCGCTGTCTGAGATAAAATGAATAGCCAAAATTCCTCTAGAGCTGTCACCAACATCCAAACCACGAACCAAAGGCGAGGGACAGCATAACATAAGAGCTGGACTGGCTCTGAACGTTGGACTCCGGTCTCCTCCCCTCTCTCTTTCGCCCCTCCCCTTATATTTAAAAGAAAACTAAATTTCTTTCCTCGCACCTCCTCTCTCTGCCCCTAATATACGGCCTGACCTGAAATAATTGACGATAGTACAACTAAGAAAGAGAAATAAAGTTGTAAGGGTCCGTATCTGTGTTTGAACGGATTTTTCCCCACTGAAAGAGAAACTCCAGAATGCTCAATCAAATGCGTGCGAATTTGCTGTCAAGTAATGACAACATGAGGTTTTCAAAGTGACCCAATAACTACGTGTCAATGATGTTTTGGCGTCCCTTGGCTTCGAAATCACAAAGGTCACCGGGCGACCCGTTTACTTAAAATTAAGACCGATCCCATGATATTAACCGCGACCGACCTTCTTGAAACAAACGGTGTTTTCTTTAGCATGCCTCGTTTTTCCCTTGAAAAGAACGTGTTGTTTAATAAGTAAGAGCTTTACGTGGTCATGATCAGCTGCGAAGATAAGATACTTGAGTTTTTTGTTTTATAAAAGGAAAACTATAACCTTTATCAATTAATTTGATATGTCTCCCTCGAAGTTTATAAATAGCGATTTATTGAAAATGATTGACGACAATAACAGTATCTACGTGGCAATTAAGAAGAACCGTACGAAGAACTGATTCCTACCCTGTAAAAAGAACTGTTAGTTTAGTTCAAATATGTGAATCATGACTCAATTTCTTTCTGGGAGCTAAAGCTGTGGTTACAGTAAATAGCCGCTCGCTGTTGCCTGTAACGATTTACGAGAGGGCTTGGAATACATTCATTGTTCGCCTACGTCCACACTTAGTATTTCTTAAATGATTTGTAGTTACAGCCGGTAAATATACCGGTTGCTGCTTCCTGTAGCAATGTACTAGAGGTCTTGGACTACATTCATTGTTCGCCTGTTCCCTCATTTCGTATTTCCTAAGTAATTTCCTAAGTAATTTCACTGTCTATGATTTTATCCAGAAAAGTCAGATTTTTTCCACGTTGGAAAACTGTTTACAGAGGCACTGATATAGAGCAAAATGTACCCATGGTCGAGGTTTGGACCCACGTAAATCAACACCGAGTTCCCAGCAAAGCTGGCACTTGAGGGCATCTTTTCAAATCTAAATTACGTAACAGGTCGATCCCTTTAAGAGAAAGAAAGGGATGTAAATGCTAAAAACAGTTTGACAACCAAAATTTTAATACTGGATAAATTAACTTTTAAGGCTCAATTTCGTTCCTAGTAATTTTCACTGAATAAACCCGTTTTAAGCAGAAATGTTCAGCTAGCTTCAGAAACACTGTACAATATGGAAGCAGACACGACCTTTTAAGTAATCCCCTGGCTTTTCCTTGCCTCGATCAGGCTTCCGCTTTTTTCCTTACTTTCGTTTCGTTTGTTTATTTCTTTCTTTCTTATTTTTTTTCTTCCGAGTGACCCACATTCTTGAGAGAAAAGGCGATGGGAGACCAAACATTTTATGAAAATGGCCTGGTTTCTTTACATCTTTACTAAATTTTATAAAGAGATGTATCGTTTGTTTGGCTTTTCAAAGCAGCTCACGCTAATTATAGATTTGACTTGTCATTTGTCAGTAGAAAATCATTCTTATCAACAGATTAGGGGATTTTGTAGATTACGATCCGTACGGATCATATCTTGACCAGAGTAGAAGTGATTTACGAAAAGTCACGAAAATGCAATGCTAAACATGCTAAACTTCAAGGGCTCAATGAAATTCGTTTCTCAGTGTTCGATATTTCTGTCAAAATTTCTTTCCGAGCAAATAACGACGTCGTTATTACACTGAAATTAAGGGAAGTTTGTCATACTTTTTACTTTCATGGTAGATGTCTTGATCCTACCAGGTAAATTGTAATGGAAGAAATCTCAGACAAAAAAAAAATTAAAAACATTTAGGATTCGATAATTTTTCGCACAGGTGCTTCCCAGACATAAGCTGGGCGTTATTCAGCGGAGGTACGAAGTCACCTTGTTTTTTTCGTGGGATCTCTGTTCCCTGTTAAGGAATCTTGCCACAAGTAAATAAAAAAAATCATACTGCTGCTTGTGCATGATGATAAATAGCGTTTTCGATCCTTACAGATCAACTACAGTTGAAAAATTCGAAATTGCAGTAACAAATTTGCTTCAACCCAGACATTTGACTTCGTGGCTCACGGTTGCTATCAAGGATTTCAAAAAAGCTACGACGAGAACGTAGCGAAACAATAGATTTAATGAGCGGAACAATATATAATGGTACAGAACGTGCGTTTCAAACTGCTAGCTATGTACATTATCAAGCTGCCCTGCGTGAAACAGCGACATTAATTCACCAAAAACTATGTGTATTCTGAGAGCAGGCACCTCGACGACGAATTACTTACTTTTCTACTTCGAAATCAATGCTGCATTTACATTGCGTGCTAGAGAGGGAATCCTTCTGGTTCTATCAGAGACGGTAAACATGTTGAACTACTCGAGAAATGTTTAGAGAGAAATGGAACTTCGTATTCTAATCGAATTTTTTAATATTTACATTTTTTCAAAACTGTGCGTGACATAACCTGATGGCCAGATTAATCTCACTCAGTTCAAAATCTTTATTTTGGCTTCAGATTTTAGGTTTTACTCAATCAGTCAGTCAGCTGCAACGCTAATGTGACGATCACCATCACTTACGCTGAGCAAATCCTGTCTGAGCCGAGCCTTGTTCCATCTCTTGAGAGCTATCGACGAAGTTCGTGGTTGAGATCTGAACTTAACACTAAGCTGTTTTTTAAAGGTGAGTGAAACGGGATGAGATTTTAAGAAGATTAAGTGAGAGACTTTGACGATCAAGGGAACTTGACCAGCTCTATCATTGTTTCACTAATTTAGTCGTTTCTGGCAACACGAGGGAAAATGTGCAGCGTGTAATTACACAGGCGTCCCAAGCTAACGTCTCAAGGAAAAGCGAACGATTATTTCATAAAAGCGTCACGCTTTATGTGAGGCGGGGTTAAGTTACGCGAGCAACCGTTGAGAACTGAATTTGAATACATTATATGGAATAGTATGGGGAACGAAATATGGTCCATTTAGAACACTAAATATTCCAAAATATAAACATTTTACATGTAAGATTGATAAAATTTACTCACTCTTTGTGTGTCCGTTGTTGTTTTTGGAGATTTCTGCTGTTTTGGGCTTGCCTTACCATCACTGTTTTTCCTGTTAGCAGACGACTTCGTTCGATAGTAGAAATAAAGCACATTAGAATAAAAGATTTTCTGTATATCGTATCGCATGTGAAAATATTTTCGTGACCGAAGTGTTGTTTGAAATTGAAACAAAGCTCAACGGAACTCGTTCGATTAACTTTGGGTCTTTGAATGATAACCTCTTTTCCTCATGTGCGAATTATGAATTTTTACACTCGTAAAATTTATGATCAATTTTTGGTTTACAGCCGACGCTAATTGGGAGAAGTCATTTTCTGACTTTCCAACCTTAGCAACAATCTCGTGGCATTTTCAAGGTTTACATGGTGAAAACGGCAGCCGAGTAAGTTGAAAATTGATAGCGTGTTTATGTTAGAATGAGCTACGAGAATACATCAGTGCTCTGAATTTGATAATTTCTTTGCGCAAAATTGTTCCTTCGATCGAGAAGAGTGCATATATCGCGCAATAGAAGTCACTCAAATTTTAATTTGTGTAGAAACATTTCAAAATTTTGAAATAAGTTCACATGCCAAAGTATTTTATGGAAAAATTAAGAGTGCTGTAACTGCCCTAGAATTCATTTGTATGTTGGGATGTTCAGTGTTTCCATAAACATGGTTTTTCTTCAAGTTCATCAATCGATTTTCGAACAAATTTTAAGCTATGTTCAGTGTTCATGCACACATTTTTTTTATACCCGACGCATTTGCAAAAAATAGATGAGTACCCTTACAAGATCTTATCTGTGATATATGTACGTCTAAAGTTTCAGCTGAAAAGGGAATAGAGCAACAAAAATTCAAGCCTGAAGAAAAGGCTCCGTGTGAGGAAGGATTGGGGGGGGGAGGGGAGGGGAGGGGAGTGAGAGGAAAAGTTTCATTTCGATGATCTTTTTTAGGCGAAAGACTGATGTACGTTTGACCATTAAAGAAATACGTGTTAGTACTAGCGTTGACATTCACACCCTATGCAAATAATTGGGTCTGGAAAGACACCTCATCCAAGGTGCTCAATGGGGCAATTTGAGACATGCCCCCAAGCTAAATAAGGGGGTTTCCGTGTACTCCTCCCCCCTTAACCTCTCCGTGGTGATCACACGCAGTGATTGTAATTCTGTAATAGCGGAGGTCTGCATCAGAAGCAGTTTGCGACTTTGTGGGGCCGCTGAATTTTATCTAAACATACAAAATTCAAAACAAAGTGGCTATACACAATCCCCCTTTCTTAATTAAGGTCATAGTTGGTCGTAATGTCACAGAGCAGACTGTTTGTGGAAATATTTGGTACAGGAAAAAGCTAATTAATCAATAAATGGAAAAGAAAACAGGAAAAGAGTAATGCTGATATCACTGGGCAAAGCTGGTCTTCAGGATTGTTTAGATCTAACTCCTTCACTCAGCTATTATTGCGTATTTTCTCCACGTTCTAAAGTATTATAATAATGTCGTTTTCCCACGCGTCTGAACAGAACGAAAAAGTTAAAACTTCACACAACGCCTGCTTGCTTTAAGTTGAAGAGAAATTAATAATTTGAAAGCTTCGTTCAGTTTTGATCAGTAAAACTGGAAGGCAGCTTCATCATTTGTGACGTTTTCAATTTGAAGGTCCCTTTGTGTGCTATTGATAAGCTGTTTGAATACTGTGATGTGATACCGTTCACCAGAGTGCAGTCTATCTATGGTCTCGTGAACAAGGTATAACAATTAACATTTTCACAAAATTCGAGGAGGTTACGAGCCAAGCATAAGTTGAGAGTTTGACTAACCTTCTCATGGAACCTTGACTTATACCTAGTCCCTATTCCTTCGCGTCGATAAGTACAGCCTCTCTACACATCTTTCCTGTGTTTCTCACTCGCAGTCAATGGGAAGTTCTTTCAATACAAGCAAAATATTTTTGCCAGAACTGCACTTAAAACCTGATATTGATCAACGTGTCTCCTCTTTCTAAGTTCAATTCGTCGCGTTAGTCAAAAGAAATCAGCTAAAGAACCGACCCAGTGTCTCTCGGCCACGCACTCATTGCGGCCGATTTCAAAATTTTTTGATGATTTAATTTCATTTGAATTGAAGGCAGTCTGAATCGAACTACTCGTTATCTTATATCCATTTTCAGTTGTTTCAGAAAAAAAAAAGAAAAACCGTAGGCTCACAAGGGACTGCGACGCAACTTCAGTGCTGAGTAACACGGAAAGACGGCGATCAATTTTTTTTTTAATTTTTTTTTATGGTAATCGCGCTTGAAAAACACGAACAAGACGTTATTAACTCGTTAATGGACTTCGTTCATTGTTTATCACAAAGACGGTGACTATTTGCAAACTATAAACAATTTATCTCTTAAGCCAGGTCTTTTTCAACACATCCGGTGTTAATCTAATCTTAAAGAAAGAAGCACATTTGAATAACCATGCAATACGTAAAGGCGATGAGAAAATTCCCTGTAAAGTTGTGCGGAAGATTCCAGAAGATATATTTTTGGAACAGCAACTACTTTTTCGAAAATAATTAGCATTTTTAGAATGTCTGCGTCAAAAAAACAAATCCAGTGATAAAAGGTTTTCACTTTTAGCCGGACCTCCAGGGGCAGAAACAATCTTGTACATGCTTCAATAACTAAATTAGGAATCTAATCGGTGTTTCACATTTGTCTTAACTTCAAAGTTTGTTAAAGCGTTTTTCAGAACATTTTAAGCAAAATGTTCATCGTTATTTTTATATTGTTATAACTTGTAGATGAAGAGCTAAACGGTTTCGGGAAAGCTGTGCAAAACTCTTCCCGCTTTTCGAGTACTTAAGTTACGAGACTTGATACTCAAGAATCTTTATCTGTATATATTAAATCTATTCAAAAAATAAATCGCTGTTTGGTTTCACTTTTCAGTAAACAAAGTCTAAACATTATTGTACAGGAATAAAAACAACCGTATCTACAAATAAATCACTTTTGTTTTCTTTTTGTTTTCCTTTGGCGATTTTTTGGCGGGTTTGCTTTTCGCATCTTGCACGAAAACTTCTCCCGCTGAAGAGAGATTCTTCCTCGAAATTGTCTGAGAACAATCAGGATTTGGGTCGGCTTGCATTATTGATTGTCGATAGAGCTTAGAAGAGTCTCCTCTGTTAGTGACATTTCTCATTCCGATCCCCAGATCGCATGGGAAAAGTTTTTTTACAATTTTCGCCAGTGTTTTTCGCATTTCTATGTTTCTATAGGCATAAATATAGGGATTTAGAGCACTACTACTGTATTGTAAGAACTTAAGGAACTTAACTAGATGTAGAAGAGCAGGCGGGGACGGTAAACACTGCAAGCAAAACGTAGCAATAACGGTAACGACAAAGAATGGAAACCAAGCAGTTACGAAGAGGATAGTGATTACAGCCACTGTGATAGCAACGTCAAGTTCTTTTATCGCTCTACCGGGAGTCAGCCCACAGTGCTTGGAAGAACTTCTCTTGCGCCTTCTGACCTGAAACCGGCTGATCTTGAAAATATAGCAATAGGAAGTCACAATGATTACCAACGGAGAGGAGCAACAGGATACAAATAAAGCTATGGTGTAGCTCTTTCGCCATGTCTCCGTTTTCGTCTGTAACGGTTGTAGAGCTGCCATCGTTAAAGCGCAGAGCCATGCAACCAGCATCATGATGCAGTAGACGTACCGTGGCATCTTACGATGAAACAGCGGCCATTGCGTYGAGAAGAAACGTTCCAAAGCGATAGCAGTGAGCTGTAGGATTGAAGCGCATCCTGCGAAAATGTCAAAGCTGATGTAAACCAAGTACGTTGCCGGAAAACAGTAACCCGCCGTTATATCTGCGTGCGAAACGATAAACGTCCAGAATGGAACTGCGAACGCTCCCACTAACAAATCACTAGCAGCGAGGCCGAGTATCAAGATATTCGTGGCAGTTCGCAGCCTAGTGTTTGCTGCGAAAGCTGCGATCACTGAGCCGTTACCTAACAGGGTTACCGGAATAAGTATTGCGTAGCAGGAAGCAACGACCACAGAAACTGCCGAACTCGCGAAAAGTCCTGGGTCATCGCAGGTAGAACGGAAAGCCGGCGTCGTTGGTAAAGCCATTGTATTCAAATCCGAGGAGTTAATCCTCGAGTTGTTGCGTCGAGTTTCTGATAGAGCAGCCATTTCCTAAACTGTTACGACATGGTACAATAGTTTGGGCGATGAAATATGCCTTCTGTGCACCTTTAACCGACCTTTCTACCACATTGTTTACCACTGATCCATCAGCACGTACAAACGATAAAAGACACATTCACTTGATGCTCAAAGCTACTTCGTTTTAAATGGCTTTCTTTCTTTCTTCCTTCTCGTTGCGTGTAGTTAGCCTTGCATGGATAACAGAGGTTGTTATGCATCAAAAATCGATAACAAATTCCCGAAATTCTTGTGCATGGTAAAGTACTTCATTTGAGGTTGCTCTGAAAACAAACGAAAGGTTATTAAGATAATTAAATGAGTCTGCAGTCTGCTGAAGTTCTCAATCATCTGCTATTAAAAAAAAAAAAAGACGCTTTGTCAGCTAATCACTGCGAGAACCTGAAATTCTCGCCCCCCCAAAAAAATCGACCCAAAAAAATGATGAATATAATTTTCTTTTCAGCGGATTTAGGAAAATTAAATATTTAAGCTCCTACGAACAGAGCGTAGGCTTTGATATCGTAAAACTTTCAAAATATCTTGGTTAAGATTAAAGAAAGCAATATATCCTTTAAAAGACTGAGTTTTTTCCTATGATAAAAATTAGAATTGCTTCTGTAAATGGACTCAATATTTGACCTGAGTGTATTCAGTAACTCAGTTTTACTATAAAATTTATTGGTGAGGCACATCAAACTCTTTTTTTCTTCTAGAATGCGTAACCTCCGATTGATATCTGACTAAAAAATGTGAATGGAAGAATGATTGCCACTTCAAAACAAGACATCCAGTGATATCAGACAACCTCTGTTTCTTGCTCAGGATGTTTCTTTGTTGTCTGGCAAGATAGAAAATTCCGTAGTTTTGCCGAGAGAGCAGTCAGTAACTTCTTCGTTAAAGAAGAGAAGCTGATAAACTAATTTTCAGAATACGGCTAAACAGAACAAAGCGGGCTGTGCTTGATCTGCACCCTTGATTAGACTTTGAAATGTCATCAAGTCACGTAAAGGCGAACGTGGTGACAAAGTTAAGATGATTATCGGATAGAGTTCGATTTTCTAATTTGATTTGGTCCAAACTCGATTATCACTCTGTAATTCTTTTGCTTTTAAATATGATTGGGCAATCTTGCTTAGTAAGGGACCTAACCGTTATATAATCTCTTACTCATTTGCTAAACTTAAGCTCGCAAGCTTCCGCTCCTCAGTCGCGTTCTGGCACGAGCGTTTTTCGCCCACGGTAAAGTATGAGGCTTGAGCAACGCGAGCCTGCGAGAGGGGTCTGGCACTAATTATTAGTGACCCATGGCAAACCTCTCCCCAGCTCCTCTCAAATCTACCCAGGGGTGGAGAAAAGCGCATCGGGCGCGGGCAGCGCTAATATTGATGGCCTGATCGCAGGTTACTAAGCTTTAGCAGAGAACTCTCATAGCTGGTAAGAACTATCGTTATACGTTTGATTTGTTGACTCAGATGTGGACCGGGCGCAATGAACTGACATCTTCCGCACGAGTTTTCTATTATTGTCGTTATCATGCAGCATACAGCAGGCTGATTGGCGCTAACCCAGGGTTAAATTTTAATCCGGACTTCTTTATCCTTTGCTCATATGATTTTCTCTATTCTTTTTAGAGCATCTGGTATCCAGTTATCAAATTGTGGACTAAAAGAGTTATGATGAATTTTCTTTTGGAGCGTTCGGTTCTCATAAGATTTCACACTTAGCCTAGGTTATTAACCCAGCTTTGGAAAATCCGGCCGTGGTGCGATAATCCGACTGCGTTTTCATGTCTAAGATGACCGGGGGTCTGTTTCTCGAAGGTCCCAGTAACTTAACGGGTCCGTAAAGCTGATCTAATTTTCATTCCAGATGGGGGTTTCAAATGTTTCTAAAGCGCTAAAGCCATTGAAAAAAAAAAAATCGGCTAAAGGAACAAAATGGGCCCGTTAGGAAGTTAAAACCTGCTTCTCTATTGTTTAAATTTTAATTCGACAATATGGTTCCGAGACCGTAAAGTTACCGTGACTTTCGAGAAACAGGCCTCAGGTCCATAAGAGGGTCTGGATAGGGGGGTTCAAATGTCAGTTGTGAGCTTAAATTTCGGCTATTTATCAGTTCTCAGTTAGATTTTAGGCCATTTGTCAGTCGTCAGTTAAATGACTATTAATAAATAACTTGGCGAGATGATTATTACTTTCCGACCCCGTTGTTGGCTAAAAAGGCACACATAGCGAAACTCAAAAATTAAGTCGAAAATTGGTACAGCAAGAACTACTTTTTCTCAATTCTGAAATGAAATAATTCCAAGATCTTCCAAGTGACTTTCAGTCTTTTTTTGAAGGTTGTTTAGTGAGTGACAACTCTTCCGCACGCGAACTTTTGATTGCCTGTGCGCAACATTGAAAACGGTTCCTTTTCAACTACTTAGCCGGTCAAACTGTTTGAGAGAAGATTGTCAGAAAGACAACAAACTTGTGAAGATTCCTCTTGTACAATATATCGGTTTTATGTTTTGTTTTATAATGCGTCGATTGCGATTGGCTCCGATGAAATGATTGGAAAGGAGTGTTCTTTTGTCTTCTTTTCAATTAGGTTATTAGAGATATCTACTGTTAGGGTACCTTAGAAATCCAAGCAAAAATGGGCGCGAACTGGCCACCCAGATCTAGAAACCGTGCGTGATTGGGTGATATCTTCATCCTCTCTCGTTTTCTGAGTCTATGTCATATTCGTCTGCATATATTCGCACCTCGTCAACAAATGTGGCATCTGTCACATTCACATCTTCCGAAGTAGCTTGAACGGCTCCTTTGTCACTGCTGAGCCCTACTGGCTGATCTCTAGAGTTAAAATCGTTCCCTAGTCCCGCCAACAAGTCCACTTTGGTGGAATCTTGCTTCGTGAACACGGCCGGTGGAAAAGTCTCTGCCTTGTCCCTGGTAGTTTCCTCCCGAACTGTCCTTTGTCCAATGGACGATTCTTCTCCACAAATTTTTTCAAAGCACTTTCAGTCTCGGGGTTGATCTCTTCTGTTGGCATTTGCAAACTCTATGCTGGTCTACGGGACATGATAGTGTGATTTTTCATGTGTAAAATACTTGGTTGCCCACTTTGTAACTCTCTTCAACGACTCCTTGCTAATAATTCCAAAGTATTGGGAATGGTAAAAAAAGGCGGGAAATGGGAAACTGCGAAAATATTCCCCACAACTGTTGTGAGTATTGAGCACAATCCAATATCTTCGAGATAATCGTTATCGATTGAAGCTATGCTGTTGCGTAGGCGGCGCATTCCTTCTTCATGAACGCTAATTGAGACTTGACTTTTATTAGACACACATCCTTCAGGGTCGTTAGCTGCCATGGTTTCCTTTATACTGTGCCGCTGTTTCACCTCAGAAACGGCGGTCTTGTGATGCTGTCATTTACATACGATACTTAGTCTACTGCATCTTGAAGAGACGTGTGCTTCCTGCATAATTTGGGCTCTGATACCAAACCTTTTATTGAGACTTCCAAGGACTTGTAAGAACGACACAGTACCGCTGAGTCTCGATGCTAGTTTCAGACAACCTATAGCAACATCCGATACGAATAGAGTCTTCTCCATGGAACAGATGCCACGAACCTGCGTAAAAAAAAAACCGTTTCACCTATTCCATTGCTTGCTCCTCTCTGATAATAGGGACCTTAAGCAATCAGGACGGCA